GACAATTAAAAAAAACAAGACAAAACAAAAGGCCTAGCTTGAGCATTATGCTCTTTTAAGAACTATCTCTCTCTCTCTCTCTCTCTCTCTCTCTCTCTCTCTTTCTCTCTCTCTCTCTCTCTCATACTTTGGACATATTGTCTGGAGGGAACAGTCGCTAGAGAAGGATATCATGCTGGGTAGGGTGGAAGGTCAGAGAAAAAGAGGAAGACCTCCAATGAGACGGATTGGCCAGGTGGCATCATTGACGGACTCAAGTGTGGCAGCGGTAGTGAGGTTGGCCCAGGATTGGACATTGTTTCGTTATGCTGTGCATGGGATCGCTATGGGTCAGTTCCAACTCGATGGCACCTCACAACAACAACAACAACAATCTATCTGGGATAATATTGACAATAAGAACTCAAAAGATGAGATAGGAAGCTTGGGGGGAAATAGGTTTATATTAATTAGAGAGGAATGGACAACTGAAAGAATGTAATCAATGTCACTAAATTATACATGTAAAAACTGTTGAATTGGTGTATGTTTTGCTGTGTACATTCTCAACAACAAAATTGATAAATTATACTTAAAGAAAATAAATACTCTGGTACAAATAACAAGAAGAAGCGGGGGAACGTCAAACATAAGATCAGTCATTGGTTGAAGCTGTGTGATTGGGCACAAAGGGGTTCATTATATTAAATTCTCTACTTTTTGTTCATGTTTTAAAATGTTCATAGTACAAAGTTACAAAGTAGTTTTAAACCTGGGTCAAAAAAACTACATCATGACAATGCTTTTCTTGGTGGTTCCTACACAAAAATGAACGCAGTCTTCAATGTATACCATTGTGTTTCTTTCATTCAGACATATCGTCAGTTAGAAGATCCATCATTACTTTCATAAAGACATTCAAAAGAAAAGAAAAACACCATTAAAACCTACATTGATTATAAACTATATTCCAACTTTGGGATTGTTGAAAATAAGCAAAGCTTGTAGAACCGAGGTATATGGGTAATTTTTCTTTGTCAGTGTTGTTGTTGTTAAGTGCTGCTGAGTCAATTTCAACTCATAGCAACCCTGTATAAGGTTTCCAAGGAGTGGCTGGGTGTTTGAACTGCCAACCTTGCAGTTAGCAGTCCAGTGCTTATCTTGCAGTGCCACACCAGGAGTTGTTATTTAAAAGCAAGTTTGAAAACAGTGGCATGCTAAGCTTCCAAAAGATCATTTATTTTAATGCACTAAATTGGAATTTGTGTTAGTTCCTTTAGTGTTTGAAGGCTTGCTTCCTGTGATGACTCATTGTATGTGTCAACTTGGTTAGATAATAGCACACAGTCATTTGATCAAACACTAGTCTAGATGTTGCTGTGAGGATATGTTTTAGATGGGATTAACATTTACAATCAGTTGGCTCTAAGTAAAGATTATGCTTAATAATGTGAGTGGGCTTCACCCAAGAGCTGAAGACCTTAGCAACAATAATGAGGTTCCCAGAGAGAAGGAGTTCTGTCTCCAGACTATAACCTACACATCATGCTGCAGTTTTCTGTCTGCCTCCTGTTCTATGGATTGCCCCTGCAATCAGGCAACCAATTCCTTGAAATAAATCTCATTTTCTCTCCTCTATACGAGGGGGAGTCAAAAAGTATTGCTATAGCATATAAAAACCATTATTAAAAATATCAAAATGCAAAGCTACTTTTTATTGACATACCCTCCATCTAGGTCTATTGTTATTTGTCATTAATTGCCACTCAGTTGGTACCGACTCATAGCGACCCAATATAGGGTTTCCAAGGAGCGGCTGGTGAACTTGAACTGCCAACCTTGTAGTCTAGTGCATTAACCCATAGCATCACACCAGGACTCCACTATGCTAGGTCTATACACTCCCGAAAGTGGTGTTTCCATCTCTCTAGCCCTTCTCCAAAGAATTCTGTGCTCTTCAGTTTATACCATGTCAAACAGCAGTTTTGGCATCCTCGAGGAACTCAAATCATGCTTATTTAAAATGTTCTTTGAGTTTTGGGAACATAAAAGAATCTCAAGGAGGTGAGAACAGGGGTGTAGGCAGAAGGGGTAAGGTTTCCCAATGAAATTCTCACAGGACAACCCTTGGTACCTTCCAAGAATAAGCCAATGCATTGTCATGATGGAAAAAAATTCCTCTGCAAAACTTTCCTGGCCTTTTTCTCACCAATGCAGTTTTCAATTTTTGTAAAACTTCATGATAAGCTGCCATGATGATCCTGTATCCTTCGGGGAAATCTACCAAGATTACTCCTTTGAAGTCCCCAAAATCAGTTGCCAAAACCTTCTGAGCAGACCTATTTACGTGAATTTAAGTGACTCAGCAGATCCTCTTGGAAGCCCCTGTTTTTGTTGGACCTTTTATTGGAAAGTACCCTAATGAGATTAAGACAATTGTATTAGGGAGAGAACTTGTTTGCAGCCATCCGCTGATCATAGAGACATATTCTGACACGCTTTGTTTTGAATAATCCTGTATATGTATGAACTAGAACTATAGTAGCAATATTTTAAAAACTTATCCTTATATATATCCTATTGAATCTGTTTCTTTAGATAACCTCTGGCCTCCCCGCTAAAAGAAACTGCATGCTCACTAGACTTGAGAAAGTAAGCAATCATGGACTTCCGCTG